ATTACCTTCTCAATTTAGGTCTTATGGAAACCTGTGTACGTGTGTATGTATAAAAATGTTATTCAAATAGCATGCGTGAAACATGCACTAGACGCCCAAAGGATGGGCTTACATTACCTCCAGGCGTAATTACTAGAGGACGGTCTAAGCTACTCGAGGATCAACTCCAAATTGTAGCCTAGGCCTTCGTCATCATAGGCTTTCACGCCAACATAGAGTTAGAAAAGTTCAAGGAAGGAAAATCATTCATCCTTTCTCCATCATCAACTTGGATCTCAAGAACCCAAGTCATTTTCGGGCCCAACTATGAAGCCCATGGAAATATGCCCAAAATTGAGTTTGAACCACCCTGAGCCCGACATTTTGTAAATTTACCCAGTGACTACATTTATAAAGCCTGATATAACTCATAGATTTGATAATTACATTTTGCTTTATTTTATTTAGGATCAGGCCCAATAAGCCATTGTGTAACGCCCTGAATATCGGTCTAGTAGTTATGTGTCAAACCAATAATTTATTTAATGAATTATTTTTAACGCGATGGTCCTTGGCTTCGAATTTGAGCTTGATGGGGGTAAGAAATTAGTTTTGTAAATGATAAAAAGGGTATTTTTAATCTTATAAAGAATACATGAGGACCTAGAGGGTAGTTATACCATTGAAGAGAAACATGTCTGATTTGGGGTGATTCCTTCCTATATTAGACGTGGGCTTTGTGGTGAGCCAAAAAGGCTCATTTCCTTCTTTATCTTCTATTCTCCCTTAACTTTATTTCTTCTCTTTCTCTCAACTCAAGAAAGAACAAAAGAAAAAGGCTTCACCTTTCTTCATCTATTTCTTCACCATCTTCTTCAATGGTGTTCATGAACTCATTTTAGGTTTTGGGAGGGTTTAAGCTTCAAGAGCTTCCTCCCATGATTTCTATTTGATTTTCATGTTGTTTAACACCTAGTGTCCTTCATTTTCATGTTAGAATTGGTTGATGGCTTTTGTGTGATGGAAAAATGGTGCAAGAACCCCCTTTTAGGTAAGTCAAGGAAAGGTTGATCATTGGGTAAGCTATAGACATTTTTTAGTTACTAGGAGCTGAGTAACACACCATAACTCTTACTTACTACTTGAATGTTATTTAAATGAGTATGCTTTCTTGCATGCGGCAGGAAGAGCATGTGGGGTTTGGGTTCTTGATTTATTGTTATGGACGTTTCGGATGTTATTCTAGTGTAAAAATGATTTATAATGACCCCTTATAACTTCCATAAGGTTTAATAATCAACTTAGTCCTTACAAGCCCATCACGCAAAGCCCTTCTCCACAAGCCTTAATAACTTATCAAGACCCATTTCCCTTTCTTATCACAAGCTTGGGCGCCTATCAAGAGCTCAATATCACCATGTTGTCCATTCATCTTTTAGAAGGGAGATATAGACCATTCATCAAGTTCAAGATCCCTTTCAAGCCATTTTTCATCTCTACCGTCGGATCAAAAGGTTTATCAAAGGTCACTATTCAATGTCACCCACATTATATGGATTTAGGAGAGACTTTCTTATTTTTCTGCTATTTTTATTATTATTTTATTCTGCAATCATGTTTCCCTGAGGACTCTCCAAACACTTTATAAGGAGGCCTCCTCTTCATTATAAAACACATATTTTCTTATTAATATATAATACAATGAGAGTTTGTTTTTGCAATAGCTAATTGCCTTGTGCCTTCGAAGCATCTTCTTTTTTAGTTCTTTTAAGTTCTTGAGAGAGAGATCTTCACGCTCCGATTTACCTTTTCATTGCGATTATGAAGGCTAGTTAGAGTCGTATTATCGAGTTTACCTTTTCATTGTGACTAGGAGGGTTCGATAGGACATACCCAACTATCAAGATCATCACGCCATCTTCATCATCAATTTCTTCCATCGTTCACGCCACATCCCATTCAAACTTAGGGTTTGCCTTAACCCCTATACCTACCCAGTTAAATTTTAAAAGTCATTTTTCTCTTAATCCGACCATCCGATTTCAATTCCGTCTTCACCATCTTTCCCATGTTCTCGGCCTCTTTCCAACAAGCATTCATCCATCAAAATTTTACCACAAACAACATTGGGCACCTATTACAAGAGAAGATAAGAACACCTCTCTTTTATTACATGTTTTATTTTATGCCCTAATTCATTACCCTTGTTTTCCTTGTCTTTAAATCTTCTTTGATTTTCATTACCCTTGTTTTTATTGTCTTAATCTCATCTTTTTGTCTATTTTCTAACAATCAAAAGCCTCCTAAAATCCCTAATCTTGCCGCCACATTCAAAGCATCCAATCTAAACCTTTCGTTTCTTCATCGAGTTTAAAACCTTCTTTGGTTTGTTCCCTCAACGAGAACAACGTTCACATCATCCACTGTCGCTTCTCTATCAATGCGTTTTTCATATAGCACAGGTTCAGAATTTCAAGTGATTTTTTATTCGTAAAATATGGTGTTATTTTAACAACTCGATTGGGAAGAAAGATAACAGAATCAAAGAAAGAAGATTATTTAGGTGGAGAAGAAAAGGGTATTAATGAAAATTCTAAAAATAATTCCTAAATTTAAGTTTAATTTAGTTTAATATGAATTAATGAATAAGTTAATATGGAAAATAAAATACATATATATAAATGACATGTAAATATTGATGTGGTTATTTTTAATTTGTCGGGACCATTGACGACGTGGTGGAAAGGATCCATGAAATATTTCTCGTGGGAAATATTTCCCTAAAGCTCACTTTGTTACTTACCATTTTAGGTAAAAGATATCCGTTCTATGATGTATTGTCATCAGTAATGGGAGTTCCTTCGACCTTGCTTGTGGAGTACAGTACATGTGTAATTATGGGGCATGTAGGTCACATTTGTTTTTATACTGAGTCTAAAACTTTTTATGATATGACGTATGAACGAATTGTGTTTTTGGTACGTGGATGATTTTATGAACTTGTGTTTATTTATAAATTGTTTTGCGATTTTTAAATGGTTTATCAAAAAAAATTATTCTTTCGGTAATTTTACTGTGAGTTGCTCCGGCGACCCTAATATGACACCTCAAATCAGATCGGATTAAATGTATCGGTTTGAGGGTGTTAGTATGACTATTGACTAAATGGAATTTCTCAATATCGGATGGCTATGGAGATTAAGGTGTGATCGGGTTGGCCTTTAAGGTAAAATTATGGAATAACTTTCATAGCAAGGTAGTAGGGGTGATTTCAAAAGCTTGTGCGCGTTTTAAATGGAGGTATTTTCTGTTATATGTCGGGTATTTATAGGTGTATGTCCTTTAAGTAGAAATTCTTTCATGTTTTTCTTTAATGGTTATCCAAGATGTATTGTAACAGAGTTTGATTGTAATGATTTATATTCAGGTTGAGTCGGTACATAGAAAGTTTGTGGTAATAATTTGAAATTTCTTTTAAAATTTTTCTATTTTGTAGTCAGGTGTGATCTTTGTATGAATTTCCTTGAGACTCATTTTATATTCATAATATGTGAATTCTATAATAAATAAAATATTGTTGTGTAAAATAATCCACAATTTATGGAATCTTATTCTTCTACCGATGCGAAAATTGTGAATTACCAGCTCAAGGCTCGGAAGGGAAAATGAAACAGCTGTGAAATTGCGGTAATTAAGTATCAATTAATATTTGGGTAAACTACACATTTAGTACCTAAGTTATATATTTGTTCTGTTTTTTACACCCAATTATTTTTTATTTTAAAATCATACCTAACGTTACATTTTTGTCACCTACCATAAAAAAATTAACAGTGATGCTGATGTGTCATCATAAGATAATGTCACGTCATCATTAAAAATATTAAAAAATGTGATCTCAATAACTCTGATAATTTTTTAACGATGAATGACCAAAATTAAACCAAAGCATAACGTTATGCATGATTTTAAAAAAAGTAACAGTTTAGTGACCAAATGGAACACGAGTTATAGTCGGGATACTAAACATATAGTTTACCCTTAATATTTGTATTCGAGATAAATTGTATCGTTAATTAGGTTTCCGTTTTAGATATATTGGGGTGTTTTATTCTTTCCCATACATAATCAACTTCTGAAGGTTTAAATGCAGATTGCAAAAATTATCATTTTTTATAAAATGATAATTTTTTGGGTATCCGATTATACCTAATCTAAAATGATCAATAACAATTTTAATCACGTGACGAACTTTTCAAAGACTCAATATATTTGAATCATTATAAAATATTTTATATAAATAAAATTAATATAATAATAAATTTAATCGAACAATTTTATATTTTATTTTACATATTATTTATTTTTTAAATATTTTAATATTCTCTTAATTTAATTTTGTTCTTTCTTCCACTAGTTTTCTCCATTATTTTTATCATTTCAATATAAATAATAAAAAACATCTTTTATTAATTTAGGTTATTACAAGTAGTAAAATATTTCAAAAAATAATCTTCTTCAATCATTTGACAATAAACATTTAAATATATATCTTATAATTACTAGTGTTTGAACTAATGACCTTAAAATTATAATAATCTCTTTATTTATCAATGTAGCTTTGTTCGTGCACAAAATAAATATTTAAAACCAAAAAACTATTAAAAATGTGTGGTAAAGAGTTAACCGACAATAAATAAATAAATAAAAGAAACGTACAAGTTCGTCACATGCAACAAAAATACATTCTGCAATGTAATTAATGCACACCATATAAAACATAAAATAAAGATGACGTGGTCCATGGATATGCAAAAATCTTATTATTTTATATCTACGAAAAGCGGGTTTTATTAGTTAAATTATTTTTTAATAGAAATTGTTAGTTTTATTAGAAGATGAAAAATCTAAAATTATAATAAATATTTGTCACTAGGCTATGCAGGCACCATTTATTACTTGCTGTTTAAATTAAAAGAAAGCGATAATGCAGCATGCTTTCATTAGATGAAACATGATTTTATTTTACTCGCAGACACATTCCTTGACTCACTGCTCCTGCTCCAGCTTCTTGTTTCTGGTCACAAAGTTGACGCTGTAGTAATTGGCACCGGTGAAAACGCCGCCTTGAACTTCAGATAAGACGGTTCTCCCATCGAAAAGAGTGTCCCTCTGCAGAAATGTGAAGGGGACATCGCACTTACCGTATGTTCCCATGGCAGTAACCGCGGCCTCAGTCATTGGTGGCACAGTAACTTTGTGTACAGTTTCTACAAGTGCGGTCACCGTGGTGACATTTCCCCACTCGATACTTGATTCAAATTGACCGGATAGTTCAATTTTTCCGTCATAGATGAGTGGAATTTTGAACTCCATCGTGGATGCCAGACCCAACATTAGTGAAAGATCAGTGTTCCAAGAACTAGTCCTGGTATCTTCATACGAGAGCGGCACATCTAAGGTGGATGATTGTTGGGTTTCGTTCACAGAAGTCCTCTCATCTAAGCTGAGGATTGTTTCGTCGTAGACCCTGGATTTATCGAGATCGTATTTGACACCGTAAATTTCTCTCGTCAACACAGCCTCTTCCACCTTTAGGTGGGCTTCTTTTGTAAGAGTGGTGAGTTGTGCATTTAGGCAGTCTCTATTGTTTTCGGCTGTAAGTCTTTTGCAGAAATGGTTGTTGCCCAAGTTGATAAGACCTATGGTCTGATCGTCGACTTTAACAGCGCGAAACAAGGTGTCCCTGTTGTTGGTGCTGGTGTCATTAGAATCTGCCCAGATCCAATCTGGGCTACGCCTCCAATAGTTTTGGTTAGAAATTTGCTTGAACCGGATGTTCCCGTCATTGGTAGGAAAAACCTCGAATGGCACGGTTGGATCACCGATGTCACCAGTTGTAAACTGCAAAAACGGGTTGCTGCCGTTGTTTACATAACGAACACACAGGAACTGATTGTTATCTCCCTTGAAGGCCAGGTACCTGGGCAGAAACAATAACGAACTCCAATCAATAACCGTGAAGATATCAGCGTCCTGATGATCAAAAACCGTGTACTTTGCCAACACACAACGATAGAGCGCCGGATTGTTCGAGTACCACAAGCATAAATAGCATCCTGATTGGACATGCTGTATTCGGACCCTATTCTGATCAGCGGCGTTGACAAAGAGAATCCTGAACAATGTGCACGATTCCTTGGATTGATCTTCCTCCTTGTTGTCGGCGGTGGCAGTAATATAGTGCGGGTTGCTGGGTCGTTCCCAATATTTGTTGTTCTGACAGCTTCTTATGTGCACCAAGTCGTTAGTGGAAAACTCCACTTCAAACTTGGCAAATGGGCTCTGGATCCGATCTTCGAAAAACCTGAGATACCCATCGGTGTCCCCTCCGCGAATATAGCTTAAGTAATTAAGCTTGTCATTGGCTTCAAGGACGATGAACCTCGGAAATGCTATTTTCGGTGCTAATTCCATCTTCGCTCTGAAATGAATATTTGAATAAGATCTCTTGGTATTAGTGCTTGCTTATCACAACCAGCTTGGCTAGCTATTTATATAGGTAATCAATGATAATATTGTCCATTGATGAAAATAAGTTTATTTCTAACGTTTTTTTTCTATTAAGCTAAGGTAATTACAAAGTAGTATCGGTCCTAAATACTCTCGATCAATTAACAATGGACACTCAATCACCTTTTGCAATCGTTGGTGCACAAATCCGTGACCTCTAAGAACAACAATGATTAACCATTGAGATGAGTTAGTTGGTGCTTATTTCCAAGGTTTAAATATGTGAGAGATCCTTGTTCATCATTTATATTTACATTTTAATAAAATTGGGTCTAAATTATTTTTGAAAATCTTGGTTTCTCTCATATTTTATTGTCTATTGGCAGATGAAATTTACCATATTGTCAATTTTAAAATTAATTACTTGATATATAATGAAAATGTAAGGGATGATAATAGTCTTGAAGAGGCTAGCAATGAAGAAGTGATAATGCAACAATTAAAGCATAAAATGTTCTTTATTTTTCTTCACAGATTCATTATGTATAAAACAAGGTAGATTTTTTGTCCAAGAAAAAACAATACGCCAATGAGAAATTTGATCTTAACTGTAACAAATTAAAAAAAACCCCAATAAAATTGAATCACAATTAAATTTGAATAATCAAACTATAAATTTACCTTAAAAAACGTTAACACCCATTGTACATTAGTAAACTTTATCTAAGCACAACCATAGTCCTATGAATCCCAAATAGATGAACCAACGAATCCAAAATGATAAAATTTCAATTTAATTTTCCTTAACGTATAAAGTTGTATTTTAATGAAATAACAAAATTTTGCCAACAAGTATTGTCACAAGTGATTGAGATTCTGGAATTTGAGTTTGTAAGCCCAAGTTCAAATTTTATTACCGTCACTCTTAGTGGGCAATCTGTAAATTCTTATATACATCATTATTGAGTCTTAAATATGCTCTAACTCTGGACTGGAGGAGTCATTCATGACCTAAACTTTCTTATACCAAAAAAATTGAAATAACAAAATTTCATTTTAGCCATCAAACTCGAAAATTTTTCATAAACCCTTCAGAAATTATAAACTTATCATCTAATGTTACACAACATTTCATTTTAAATCTATGAAAAAAATATTATTCTTATCTTGAAGAATGAAGATTGTGGCCTAGAATTGCTTCTTATCATGAAGAATGAAGAATTGACCTCGAATTACCTGCTTGTGAGTGAGCAAAGAAAAAAGAATCAGACTTTATTTTGGACGCATGCATTTACTAATTTCCCACGTTTTTTGAAAAAATAAATAGTATATGTCTATATACTATTTAAGGTATGTTTATTTCACTCAAAATAGTTTTTGGAAAATATTTTATATAAAATTAATTATATTTTTGGAAAATAAATTTTAAAAATTATTTTACAGTGTTTGGATGATATTGTGTAACCCATTTTTTACTAGTATATATTTGAGTCATCAAAGATTACAAGAGTATTTGAGCTTTCATTTTCAAATGTGAGGCAATTTTACTATATTGGCTGTTGTGTTTGTTTGCTAGCAGGTCGCTACGTGTTTTTTTGTCATTGTATTTTATTAGTCATTTCGTAGTGCCCTTTGAATCTTTGGTTTGTTGCTTAATTGGTTGTATGTACTTTTACCCTCATTTAGATTAGGGAGGTTTTTAATGTGGCAAGCAACCAAATATTGCCTTGAGGTTTCCTAACAAAATTGTCTTGCCAAGAAAAAAAATATAGTGAAAAAAATAATGGTTGATATGTGGTGAAGAGGGAATTATTTTCTCAACAAGGGTTATATGAACACTGAATGGAAGAAGACACCTAGACTATCAGAAGTCTTTTGGAAGACGTCAGAAATATACGGCTACGTCTTCCTTAGACCGTATGTAGTGTGAAAATCAACCTCAACAACTTTTCAAAGACGTCAGTTAGTCTAGGCGTCTTCTTCCACCCACTGTTCATATCACCCTAGTTGAGAAAATAATTTGTCTTTCACCCCATATTAAACATTGTTCTTTCCCAACTATATTATACAAATAAATTTGCCAAATTGAAATTGATATTATCTTGATGATTGAACAAAGATCAAAATCTATTAACATTTAAAAATAAAAAATGGAATGGGATAGTCACAATGACTAAAAGGAGATGATCTATAAGGAAAGAAAAGGAACAACAAAACATTTGAAAAACATATAACAGGTTAATGGGCACAACCTTTGTCATTCCTACACACACAACAAGGCTAAACCTTTTCAATGCATTGCCCCTGATTTTTTCAGTAGCCCGAAATATCGACACCTTTGGCTCATTTTTTTCTTCTGAATAGATAATCCTTATCTTAAAGAATGAAGAATGTGGCCTAGAATTGCCTGCTTGTGAGAGAGTAAAGAAAAAAAAACAGGTTTCCTGTTGTACACAAATATTTACAAATCTTTCACTTTTTTCAATATAAGAATATATACTAATATAAATCATATATATTTCTATGTACTAAATTTTTTGGATTCCCAATGTAATAGCATGATAAATATCTCCTTTTATATTATATTTTCTTTTAATAAAATATTTTAAAAGTTTTTAATTTATTAAAAAAATTGGTATGAAAACGTTATTTGAGAGTACATTTATCCATTCATTTTTGCGTCTAACAATAAATTATGTCCTTATAGTTTTATATATTATTTAAATTAAAACTTATCCTTAAACTTTAAATTTAAATATACAATAAGTTCTTTTAATGTTACGTAACTTTGTCTCTATCAATATTTATCCACGATACATCCCAAATAGACGAACGAGTGATTCCAAAATAGTAAAATTTTAGTTTAATTTTAGGTAAAGTATACAAATGGTCCCCTCACCATAGGGTGTTGCCTTGTTGAGTCTCTCGACTATTAAAAGTTATAAAATGAACCTCTGACTATAAGTCATTGCTTTATTGATTCCCCTTACTATTAAAAGATACAAAATAGTCACCCGACTATTCATATGTTCCAAGTTCGTCCCTTTCCATTAGAAAAACAGAGACCATCTGATCAAGATGTTAACTTGCTCATTAGGATATGGTAAAAATATGATTCCATAATTGTTTGATTTGTAGTTTGTGGATCGAGTCTCTGTTTACAACATGTCATAGAGCCAACTCTTGAAACAATATGTTGTCGAGCCAGTGTTTGAAATCAACGACGGTGTCAATAAACATCATTAAAATATGATTATATCATATATTAATCAGCAAGTTAACGTCCAGATCAGATTACTATCAAACTTTCTACAGAAAATAACTAGTTTGAAAAATATGAATAGTCAGGTGACCATTTTATAATTTTTAACAGTCAAGGGACTCAACAAAGTAGCGCCCTATAGTCGAAGGACAATATTATAACTTTTAACAGTCGAAAGACTCAATATAACAATCTTATAATTGGAGGACTATTTGTGTATTTTATCCTTTAATTTTTTTAACAATGTAAAAATTTAATTTAATGAAATAACAAATTTCATTTTAGCCACCAACCTCATAAAAATTTCATAAACCCTTCAAAAAAAAATTAAAAGGGTAAATTACATCATTCATCACCAAACTATACTCTCTTCCCTATTTTCCTCATGCAAATTTCAATTTTTCTATTTTGCTCACTGAACTTACAAATTGAATCATTTTGCCCACTCCCCGTTAACACTCTAACGTTTTGATGATGTGATAATTTTTTTATTATTTTTAATATAAAATAATTAAGAAAATAATAAAATAGAAGATGGTCGAATGATATTGTCGGCCCCCATCGATTGCCATAGATGGTGGCCGTTTGGTCCCAAATTTCATGGGTCGCTTCATCTCAACATCGTGATTTCGAATCCGACCTCAATTTTGTCAGAACTTGCTTCAAGGTCCACGAATTTGAGATTGAAAGTGAGGGAGTCAAAATGTTTTAGTCAAGAATCTTGGGTTTTTAGACATTTTTCGATGAAATAACCACCATATTCAGACTCAGGAGGTCTAGATGAATCGACCCATGAAATTTGGGATCAAACGACCACCACAAACAACGGTGGATGGTGGTCGAAATGAA